TCTATCAGCCCGACCATTAAAAATACAGTGATGGTGACCATTCCCTATCTAGAACACTTGTTGATGCTCACAGAAACTGTAACAATGCATTAAGGGTCAAAAGATAGACAAAAATAATAAATTAATAAAATAAGCATAAAACATTGACTTACTACAATACTATTTGGTTTCATTAGCTGCACAACATTTTGTGGGTGAAAGATAAAATCTGATATTCAACAATGAATGGAACTATATCTACATTTGCTTAATCTAATCTTACTAGAAAATGATGACCAAAAAATATGGATTTTTCAACCCATGAAAACTGAGTCTTTAATAACTGTTTATGTGGTTGAGAGTTTAAAACAGACATAGTAGCACACGTCTGTGATCCAGCACTCAGAGGTTGAGCCAGGAGGATTATGAGTTTGACACCAGCCTGGGCAACTCAGTAACTTAAGAGACTCTGTCTCAAAAAATTAAAAAAGGGTTGGGGCAGTAGCTTAGAATAAACAAAGGCCCTGGGTTCAATCCCCAGTAATTAGAAAAAAAGTTTAAAGCTCTATGCATATAGATCTATCCAATGCTATAAGACAAAAGCAATTTATAGATCTTCAAATACTTGTCATCATTTTATTTATGACACACTCCTACCCATAAACAGAAATAATGCCAACTTAGTGAATTTATAAGATATTAGAGTAAATAGTGAAATTTGCCTTTCGGTCATTTAAAATATCAGTGAATCCTTTGTACTACTTTTAAAATATATTTTTTTTAAAACTAGGGCCAGGGATAGAGCTCAGCAGCACATCACCTGCCTAGTGAACACAAGGTCCTGAGTTCAACTCCTGGTACCAAAAAACAAAAACAAAATAAAACTCTAATTCTTCCTGACAAAATTTTTAAGAGAAGAAGAAAGCACCAGAAATACCAAAATATTAAAATTAAACTGTTACTACAAACTATTACTACATTATGTTTACTTCATAAACATCTGTAAAGAACTCTGTATACACATGTATGCATGTGTATGTGTTAATAGGCTAGTTGGTGGTGTTTCTTACAAGTGCTTTATAAAATAAATACTTTTACTGCCTCGTGATTTTGAGACCAATCAATATACTATAAAGTATGCTTTGCAGTTCTTAAGTCTTCACTTTGTGCCTTAACAGCCAACATTCATTCATTTTTTTTTTTTTGTCTTTTTCGTTTTTATCGGTACCAGGGATCGAACTCATGACTGCCTGCTTGCAAAGCAGGCGCTTATGCCGCTGAGCTAAATCCCCAGCCCCCAACATTAATTCATAACGAAGTCTTCTTATACTTACATGGCTATTTTGTGTCTCTTCTAAAGATTTACTATTCTTGGACTGCTCAATAAAAATGACCAATTAATTTGCTATCACAAAAACCCAAGAAGTACTCCAAAATATTTCCATCAAAGACCAACTAACAACTAAGTTCCTTACTCTACTATGTTGAAAACTGACTTTGAATGAGTCCATTCAAAAGAAACCCAAGAAGGATGTGTCACACAGGGGTAAACTCTCAATCCTGCCCAGTCAAATTTAAGGAAGACGTGAAATATATTCAGAAACTACTGCGAGGGCATCAGAATAGAGAGCAGGGTTCAAGAGAGAGGACACGCATGGGCTTCAGGGTGAGTCCTCGCTCCGCTCCTCACTGAGCTGGGCAACTTAAGAAAGCCTCCTTGAGTCTCCACTGTTATCAAATGGAAGCACGAGGCTTCCTGGCAGTGCTGTCTGAGCACCGAGTTAGATAGCATGTATAAATAGACTGCTGACCACAGGACCTTGATCTCGAGACTCAAATGGTCATTACGAGTGTTTAAGAGTATTTGTTATTTTAAAAAAAGAGTATTTGTTGCTGTTATTGTTGTTGAGTTTTCTCATTTCTTTTTCCAGTCCTGGGGACTGAACCCAGGGAGGGCCTTGCACATGGCAGGCAAGTGCTCTACTACTGAGCTAGGTCCTTGACCCTTTAAGGCCTTAGTTTTATGTATAATATTCAAATCTCAAGTGATGCTGAAAACTATACAAAGGAAAAACCTAAAGATTCAACTACAGAGCTTTCTTCAGTGTGCTTCACCTGATTATCTTGTGTATTCGCGGTTTTTAAACTGTAGGTCTTGGCACAGGAAGGAATGTGAAATCGTTTAGTAGATCTCAACTAGCATCTTTAAAAACAAAACAGAATACAAGACCGCACTGTACATAGAAAATCTAAGCATTACTTCATAGTTTTTTAAAATTACATATATGTGTGTAACTGTGTATGTAGCGACAATGTAAAATGCATTTTCGTTTTCTTTTGTACCGGGGACCAAACTCTCGACCTTGCGCTTGCCAGGCAGGCATTTAGGCCAGTGAGCTCAATCCCGGGGCCCTAAAATACATTTCTTACTGTGTCCCTAAAATAATGATCTAAAATCACTGCTTACCATTATAATAATGAGAATAACACTGAGCTGACCCTGAGTGCTTCATTGCGTAGTTTGCATTAAGGACATATGCACACAGATTTCATCTGATTCTCACAAAAATCTTGTAAGGAAGCACTAATACTGTTCCCATTTTACAGATGAGGAAACCAAGCCTTGGATCACATCACTTACCAAGGACAAAGGGCAGTAACTCACAAAGCCTCAGAACTTACACATTTATCCAGTTCCGTTAGTACTCAGGGACCAAATACAACTCTCCCTTCTATGAAAGCCAAAAAGTAGCCTTTTCATGACGTCTACTTGGAGTGGGACTTGCTGGGGTTGTCCTACTATCATAGAGAAAATTGATTCAGAGGTGAAAGCACCAGACAGGAGACCCAGCTTCTGTCCCTGGCATCATTGCTTTAGTGCTGTGGAGCTGGCAAGTCATTTAATCCCACTGTGTCTGGATTTCCTCACCTACAAAACGGGGATGATAGTATCTGCCCTGCCTCTCTGAGGGCCATGGAGAGAAAGTATAAACACACATAACAAGAGAAATGTCCCATTGTCGTCCTCATTACCTAACCCAGAGGATGACTGCTAGAGGCCCCATTCTTCAAAGAAACACATCAACTATGATCAAAAAAGGGAGGCCGCAGCCTTTCATGAATTGTATGTGTAAACACTTCGCACAATTCTCGGCACTCAGTAGGCCCTCTGTAAATATTCATTACACAAAAAGAAGCAAACCCATTCCACCTATATGCATGTTGTATGTTTTGCACTTTCTTTCTCATCAGCTCATTCTTTTTACCACTGTGTATCAAACACCTGCTAAGTGCCACATGAGAAATCTGGATCATCTAAAAAAGAACTAAAGGACTATCCCTTGCCTGAAGAATCCATGTTAATGTCAATTAATTACTCCAAAATGGTGTAAGAAGAAATTGTAAAATATAGCTTGGTCCATTACCAATAATAAAGTATTACAGTACCTTACAGTTTATGAAGGACTACCTAGTAGCTTTTGTTTTTACAACCAATAACCTAAGAATAATCAGTACAATTATCTGTCTGATACTACACTCTGCTCTCCAGCTACTGAAAATTCTTGAGAGTCAAAGTTTCTTAATTTGTAGGAGGTGGCTGTAAACATAAGCTTTTGAACAATATACATTTAAAATAATCAATAGTATAAGAAAGCGATCAAGTGTATGATTTTTCCTTGCATCTGTTTGGGTTAAAGGAATACACAATGCAATCACATAGCCTATATAAGGTACTTCAAAATATTTCTTTTTAAAAAAAACTTGCCTTTGACGTTTTTTCCTTACAGGCAATTTTCTTTTAAATATAATGAACTGGATTTTTTTTTCCCAAAGAATAAAATAAAAGCAGGGAGTAGTGCGGGTGTCTTCCCTTTGTTGACTTTTTAGAGATGACTCCAAATTGCCTGTTGTATTCAGATGCCTGAGTCGCAAACAATGCCAAATAACTGTAAGCCATTTTATATATAATTCAACCACTGTAATTTTTACAAGGGAACACTGATTTAACTGACAACTTAATGAACTGAAAATTTGCCATAGGTTATTTATTAAGAACCTTTCATTAAAATTACGTTATCCTTTGTATTCTAACCACTCCCTCTCCACCACCACTAGCCCCAACACACACAACACACTACACCCGGTCCGTTTCCCGGTCATTATTCGTACCCCCTATTAAAATTTCACAACACACGATCGTAGTTACTAGGTTTCCTCCGCCCTCCCCCTCCAAGGAACCGATGTGTCTTCAAATATATATTCTCTCTTCAAATGCACAATTCACAAGATGAGTGCGCGCCTCTATTCGGAGAACAGCTCCAGTGAAACGCGCGCGTCTGTCCTTCAGCTTGCTGGGACTCGCATTTCGTTTAAAAAGCCGCAACCCAGCCACCGAGTCCGCGGGGTTAGGCGGGCCGATCCGGCTCGGAGCTCCGGGAGAAAGGCGGGCTGGAGTCCCGGGAAAGCCGCAGCCCGAGCCCGGGGAACGTGTCACCCCCCGGCGGCGTGCGGTCCCGGGCTCCAGCCTCGGCGAGCAGGGAAACCTTTGTCTCGCCTCAGCCATCGCACTGGTGGCTCCTCTGCTCGGCCCGGAGCTGGAGCGAACGGCTCGGCCGGGGTTACACAAAGCGCGGCGGCTCCGGGCCGGGGCTGAGCGGGCGGGCGGGCGTCCGGCTCTGTCCCCGCCGCAGCCGGGGCGCGGGGACCGGACTAGCCGGCCGGGCTGCCGGGGCGGGAAGGCGGCGGTAAGCACAGCTCCGACGTCCCGCCGAGTTCCCGGGCGCAGCCGGCCGCCAGCCGCCCTCGCGGGCTCCCCCGGCCGCGCACACCACGCGCAGGTTCCTCCCCGAGGCCCGCGCCCCGCGCCCCGCGTCCCCGCCCGCCCGGCCGCCCGAGCGAGCCCACGCCCCGGGCAAGGTCGCGAGAGCGCGGCGCCGCGAGGCCGCCCGGAGGCGCCAGCGCAGACGCCGCCGCCCGCCGCCCCGTGGTCCGACCCGGCCGCCGCGCGGCGAGGCGCTCACCTGCGGTCCCGGCGACGCGCGGTCCCGGCCGGCGAGCGGCACAGCCTGCCGAGCCTCCGCCGCTGCAGCGCTCCCGCCTCTCAGGCGCCCGCGGCCTCCATTGCGCTCCCCGCCGCCGCCACCGCGCGGCACTGCGCGCCCGGCCCCGCGCGCGGTCACATGCTCCGCCGGCAGCGCCACCGCTCGGACCCGCGCCCGGCCCCTCCCGGCCCGCCGCCCGCGGGGCTCGGTCCCCACCACGGCAGGGGGTGTCGCGGGCGGGCCGGGCGCGTGGGGACGCGGCCTCTGGGTCAGAACCGAGCCAGGCGCACCTGGCGCGGGGCGAGAAACAAGGTCGTGAGTCACCGCTACACCGGACACAGTCCTGGCCGCAGGCACCCGGGGACCCAAAGACTAGGGGCGACCTGGACCCCAGAGGAAGGTAACTCTGCAGAGTGCTCGCCACGTAAGGGTATGGGGACTCTTGAGGGTCGCACAGGTTGAAAGATATCCCTTGCCCACAGAAATAAAAAGGCTAGAAATTGCATCGCTGAGTCGCTATATATCTGAACAGTATGACACTGACACTTAGCATTATAGTCCCCAGCCAAATGAAATTCAGTACTGACGTCGATGTTTTAAGGAAAATGAGTATTTATCTTTTCCTTTTGGAGGTTAAGCAAAAGCACTGAGACTTTTTCCGCCATACAGTTTGTTATGGTTATTTCAGAGGAATTATGTAAAATCAGCTCTGATGGTCTTTTAGTTGCTATCCATGCAAAGATACTACAAATAATTTAGTGTCATTTTTAAATAGGAAATTTAAAATAAAGCCGAAACTCCTTGTGACAAAAGATGCAGAAGATGAACAGTAGCCCTAACTTGTACCGATATTGAGCCAAGTGCCCAGTGCCAAAAAGACAAGTAACAGTAATGCACAAGAGTGACTTAGAGCATCTTCGATAGTGAAGACTAGTGTATTTGCCATATCCAACTGTTTTTCTAGATTAATTTTTTTTTTAAACCAGTGATTGAACTCACGACCTAGCACTTGCCAGGCAGGCGCTTATGCCGCTGAGCTAAATCCCCAGTCCCTAGATTAACACTTTAGCTACCAGCATAAAACAGGTTTTTGTATCATTCAGCTGTTCAGTTTGTACATATAAACTATGTCAGCTGTATTCCAAGTAGGAATAATGAAGTTTTAGAACTGAACAAGTTCCTTGTGAATCAGTTTAGTAGCACTAGTAGTTTCCAGAACCAGAAATCAGATCTATGTAGAATATACACCTGAGGAATTTTCCTTTACACATGAGCCTTACCAACTACATGAGAACCACTCTATCTACACAAATTCAGATTTACACAGATAAATTCACATTTACTGTCTTTTCATTCTGTAGAACAGGATAGTGCGACTTATGTACTCAATATATTGAAAAAGTTCTGGAGGAATGATGTCATGTTAGAGTGTCTCAAGGTTCTTGGGGGCCACTTATGACAAGGGTGTTTCCTTCTGTCACTTTTTCAATGCACGTCTTCGTGGATACCATATCTAGAGCTAGAATAACAGCTTTGGCTTATCAACCCAGGCCCCAGATATCTGCTTTTTATTTTTCTTTTCTTCTTGTTCTTTTCTTCTTCCTCCTTTTTCTTTTCTTTCTTTCTTTCATTTTTGGTTTTTTTTTTTTTTTTCTTCTATGCTGGGTATGAAACCTACATCCTTGTTCATGTTAGGCCTTGTGCAAACACTCCCAGCCCATATTCTATTTTTTAAATGATCAGTTACCTCTCAGTTAAGATATTTTTCAGACACCATATACAACACAAAAGAAAGATACAGAACATCTAGGAATTTTTGAAATATTTAACCACTTAACTGCTGCATTAATAGTTACAGAAAATATGTGGTAAAGTGCTGGTATCTTTAAACCAGTAGTTTCAAACCATGGATTTTGTCCTCCAGGAGACACTTGGTTGTCACAACAGGGAATGGTAGGTGCTCCTATGAATTATCCAGTGACTAGAAGCCAGGGACATTGCAAAATGTCCTGCATGCTCAGGGCAGCCTCCCACATCAAGGATTCTCCCAAAATATGTGAACAACCCCAAATGTTAATAGTGCCAGAGTTAAGAAATGCTGATCTAGGACACCCAAAGCTTCCTGATTCTACAATGTCTGTGACTGACACTTTCCCTGTGTATATACACTAGTGTTGGCTTCACCTTTAGGAAAAGAGTACAATCTTGTAGCTTTTCTTAGAAATTCATCTATCAACTTCAGAAAGATAATTACACAGGAAATTAACAAATACAGTGCAAAAGATACCAAGATATGAGCCCAATGAACAGAAAATATGTACTCAGTACAAAAACATTTTCAATACTTGCAAAAACTAGCCAAATTTTATATTGAAAAACAAAGACAGAAAAACAATAAATTTCAAAAAGTAAAAATCTATATAGGCACCAGATGCACTGGCAAATGCCTGTATAGTCCAAGTTACTTCAGAAGCTGAGGCAGGAGAATAGTAAGTTTGAGGCCAGTCTGGGCAAGCTAGTGAGACCCTATTTCAAAATTTTAAAATAAAATAAAAGGAGGTGGGGGTTAAGCTCTGTAGGAGAGCATTTGCCTAGCATGCATGCAATCCTCAATCCTCAGTAGTGTAAACTTACAAGGCTACATTTTTTTTAAATAAAAATTAATATATTAGATATTTATAACAAAATCTAACTACTCGATTTGCTGTTGGTGGTGGTGGTGGTGCTATTGGGAATTGAAACCAAGGCCTCATGCATTCTAGACAAGGGCTTTACTAATTAGCTACCGCTCCAGTTCTTAAAATTTCCTTTTAAATAACTCATGTTAAAGATAGGGTGACCATGATGGGCATGATGTTGATAACTATAATCCTAGAACTCTGAGCAGCTGAAAGAGGAGGATCACTAATTCAAATCTCACCTGGGCAACTTAGTGAGACCGTTTCAAAATAAAACAAGGGCTGGGAATGCAGCTTAAAGCAGAGACCCTGGATTGAATCCAGCGTGCCACAAAAAGTGGGGGTTGCCATGCTTTCTAGTTCACCCAGGACATTCTGGTTTCACCTAGTGTCTTGACTATATATAATCCCAATTTGGGTAATAAATTATATAATGACACTTTCACAAAACTAAAATAGAGTTATCATTTGATCCAGCTATCCCACTCCTTGGTAATACCCAAAGGAATTAAAAGTCAGCGTACCACAGGAATACCTGGTTGGCCAGGTTTATTTGTGACACAATATACAATAGCAAAGATACCGAACCAGCCTGGATGCCCATCAACAGACGAATGGATAAAGAAAATGTGTGTGAGTGTGTGTGTATAATATGTACAGTTGAGTAGTTATAAAAAGGAAACTTTGCTATTTGCAGAAAAATAGATGGACCATGATAAGCAAAATAAGCTAGAATCAGACAAATATTGCTTGTTCTCTCTAATATGTGGAATCAAACAGATGACAAGGGAGTAGAATGGAAACCATTACTAGACAAGAGGAAGGGAAGAAGGAAGAGGGCCATAAGGGCAGATAATGAGGGGTATGATTGTAATCAAAAACATTATACACATGGAAACCTCCCAAAATATGTGAAACTGGAGGGTGGGGAAGAAATAATTAAAGCATGTTACGAGCAAATAAAATTCTGCAGAAATGAAACCCATTCTTCTGTATTAATAAAAATGTGGAAAAAATAAGCCTATAAATATATACTTAAATATTAGCATTAGTTTTTTAGAGAAAAATGATTATATAAAATGGCTTATACTTTCATGCTTATCTGTGTATTTAAATTTTCTGCTCTAAATATGTATGGTTTAATAATGAGAAATAAATTTATTTTCATATTTAAAAAATATATAGTCACCCCAGTAAAGAATAATCCAAAACTAAAACTAGTATTATTTAGAAAGTAGTGCCAAAAAACTAATGACCAAAATCCTGGAGGAGTATAGGGTTCTCAGAGGAAATGTGGCTTTTAATGCATACATTAGAAAACAAGGTAAAAACACTAATGCAACTCAAGGGTAAATTTAAAAAAACGGAAGTAAGGAAAGAATAAAATCAGAAGTTAGGACTAGAAAAATAAACAGATTTGACTAACAAAATAAAAAATTGGGGGGCTGGGGATTTAGCTCAGCGGCATAAGCGCCTCCCTTGCAAGTAGGCAGTCATGAGTTCGATCCCTGGTACCGATAAAAACGAAAAAAAGACAAAAAAAAAAAAAAGTGGTTCTTAGAGGGAAAAAAATGAATGAAAACATTGACCAATCCCTGGCTTATCAATCATGATACAAAAAATAAGCATTTCACAAGAAAAGAGAAATAATTCTGTATTGGATGATTTTTAAAATATAGATGAAATATAAAATTATTCAGAATAAAAAGTATTATAAAACTTAATAATGGGAACTTGAGGTGGTGGCACACACCTGTAATCTCAAGCACTCAAAAAGTTGGGAAAGGAGAATTGCAAGTTCAAGACCAGCGTGGGCTACAAAGTGAGCTCAAGGTCAGCTTGAACTGCATAGCTACAGCCTGTCTCAGAAAGACAAAATAAAAGGGGCTGGGGATTTAGCTCAGCGGCATAAGCACCTGCCTTGCAAGCAGGTGGTCGTGAGTTTGATCCCTAGTACCGATAAAACCGAAAAAGACCAAAAAAAAAAAAAAAAAAAGAAAGACAAAATAAAACAAAACAATTTAATAATGGGAAGAAAATTGGATTTGCAGGAAAAATGGAAAGAGTGGTCAGATGTTTTCCTCTAAGTAAAATACCTGCTCAGGTAATTTTGTGAGTCAATTCTGACAGACTAGAGCCAAAAATATCTATGAAATGCAAAAGATTCCAGAGTATGGCAAAAGAAAAATTTCACAACCCATCTTATGATGTTAATACAAGATGTTGCTGTTTGTCTTGAAAAGGCAGTGAAAGATCAGTCCCATGATGAGCAGAATGGTGAAGAAAAATCTGAATAAAATACTAGAAAATCAAAACCAGTAGTCCATTAAAAATAACATTGTAGTTGAGGAAATGAATAGTTGCAATAGTCCTAAAACATAAGGAACGTATTTAATACCAGCAAATCACAAAAAAGTGCATAAAGTAATGTTTTATTTCTCTTTTATCACTATGAAAAAA